TGCCTCTAGGCAGTTATATACCTCATGGGATTCTCCAGCTCTTCAGAAGCTAAGACACCTCTGTAAAATCTCTGTAGTGATATATGTCCTTTCATTTGGTCGAGACTGGTGAGACATAAGTCTTTAAATGATGCAGAACATGTAAATGAGTCACACACTCCGAGATGATGTCCTGGGTTCAGCAGTAGCAGTCATGTTTCTCCTTGGTAGCTGGTGCAGTGCAGTGTTTTGACTTTCGGCCTGGTACGCTGCCTGCTCAGGTTAGTGTTGCTGTATCTTTAGCTACCTGTTAGCCTCTGATCTTGCAGCAGAATCTGCAGATGTGAATATGAGCCTGTTTTCAGCTGCACCAGTTTTTGGTCTGGTGTGTTATTACAAATCACGTTCATTGGCTGAAGTACGGGACCAAATTGTGGCCATGAGGTCACATCTCTTACAGTAACGTCTGTTTTGAGGGACAGAGCAGACTGCCTGAAGTTGTACCCATCTAAGACTACTGCAGCTCTGCTCTCAAAATCTTCGGTTGTGCTTGTTGAGGGGCTTGTGGGTGTCCAAGGTATTAATGAAAATCTTTTGTGACAGCTGGAGAAATAAAACCATGTAGTGTTCCCTGTCCTCTTAAGTCACTTCATTTCATGTGGGATTCCCTAGGAGAATGGTAAGGTGACTTTGTGGTGCTTTTCTACAAAAGGTACTTGTGCAAACAGCGAAAATAGCAGTCAGACAAGACAGAGCATATAGCCCTCAATGATTTGTAAATTAGCATTATGGTGCTGTCATTCTATGCAAGCTCTCCTGAGAAGCCACTTAAGGAAATGGTAAGATGCATTCTTCATCTCAGACAGGGTGGGGTTGAACACTGTCGGGAATTCATAATGAGATGGGCAGTTTCACATAGAAATCGCTGGTTCTCAGTTGTGACAGGGAGCTGTCAGCAGTTGTTGCCTGGGGAAATCAGTTCAGTGATCTCAGACCAGCTCATTACAGGTAGATGACTACATCCCAAGTCCTCCTGGCCCTCATTTCCACTTGAAGCAAGTTTCTCGGGTGTGGTGGTGGTGGAGCCTTGTAGTGATGCCTGTCTCATGCTGGATAGATACAGTCATATTTGGATGTGTTACTGCACCACTCTCAGTAGTCTGGAGGTTTGCTGTCTCATAAGCCCACTCTGCATTTAGCCTTTTACAGCTTGTTTACAGAGACCCTGAGGTAAGTTCATTTAACTAATGCATGAAATGTAAGGAGTTTTTTCACAGTGAGTTAATCTGACCTCAGGTCACTTTAGTTCTGAGTAAGAGTTGTGACACAGAGCTCTGATGTGGCTTTACCTGTTTGAGACCAGCTTTCTTGAGCATCCCCATGGACGAAGCACATTCTTGGCTTAAAGCAGTCTAGAAGAACCTAAAAAGCAAGTGAGCATGGAGATGCGGTGGGTGGGCCAGGGGGCCAGGCAGCTTTGTAGGTCATCGTGCCAAAATGTGAAATACTGCTGGGTATCCTGTTTTGAAATGAAGGGCTAGCAGCTTGATCTTAGTCCCAAGTTATGTTTTAACTTTGAGAACGACTGCTTTTCCTGTGCTTTGTGCATGGATCACTCTGAGCATCATTCTGGGAAGCACAGGGTGTCCATGGAATCTAAGGGGGAGACTCTGGAGATGTGCTGCTGTCACTGCCTATGCTATGTATCTGTTCATGACTTTGCAAGCTGCTGCAAAAACTTGGAAGTTTTCCAGCTTATATCTCTAAGATGGACCTGAACACATCAACATTTTTTCATCTAGAAATGACCACAGAAATTACAGGTTTATGCCTTCCTTCTAGAAAGTGTGTTTCTGGTAGTGGAGCTGGTGTCCTGTTGCTGTTTCTGGTGCTGCTGTTTGATGCAGTTCATACATGTGTGGCTATAAGGCAATGAAGTCCTGCCATTGTGGATTTTGTAACTGAAGTAAGATGTGTGTCTAATTCTAAAAGCAATGCAGTTAATAATGCCTAACTTACATGCAAATTAGACATAAAGAGACCATGACTATGAACACAGTTTTACTGTAATGTTTTAACAAGGTCTTTACAAGCAAACATGAAAAATTTCCAAGGAGTAGGGTGTGGATCATGAAAGTGGTAGTGTGAGAGAATACGTTCTCATAGCACTAGGGTTTTCTGGTGAGTTGAAATGAAATCTGTTGATATCACAACTTTGCAGACTAAGGAAAGCTACAGTGAGATACTCTTTTTTTTACACACATTTTTCAGAAAACTCTAGTCAGACTGGTGCATCATGCCATGTGGCAACAGATGGGTTTTAACTTGCATAAATATGTAGGGTGGTGTGTGCTCATAATCTAAACTACTCCATATGCTGAGCTAAAGATTTATTACAAGGAAAAGGTCACCATGGATAGCTTAGAGAGTGTAATAGTCCTTGTCATGCTGGAGGTGTAATAACAGTGATTAAAGGAAAAAGATAAATGAGAAAATTTGTAAAATATGCGTGTTTAAGTGACAGAGAGGTGGCAATGGGTAAAGAATGTTACACCGTAATTAAAATTAAACAATTTGTGCTGCTCTGCTTGGTTGCATTCAGAGAGGTGTGATAACAAAGACTAAAGCCATGAGCTTTAGCCTTGTGTTCTGCATATGCATCTTGCCACACACATACAGAATTGTTCCAAATAAGATGTTGGACTTTTCACAGATTTGATTTAATAATGTTTAACTGACAGAGTGTTGCAGGAAGGGAGAGCAAGAAAACCATGGAATTGCACAGAAATTAAATAGTGTTTGTGTGCTTGGTGGCAACTTTCTAGGCTGGACTGTTCTTCAACCAGTAAAAGGTTTTTGGTATTGGCTATTGCCAGTAGGGAGGTGCTGGAGGTGTTGCAGTTCCCAGCAGATGGGGTTTAGGTGAAGGTTCTGCTCCAAAACTCATTCCAGAAGTATCTGGAGTCTTTATTCTGGCTTGAACTTACTCTAGTACATTTTCAGTCCATTTCCGAAGAACAAGGTTCATAGGAATGTCAAGCTTTTTGAAGTGGTACCCTGTTTTGGAGGAACACATCAGGAACACATCATTTAGCATGGAAAGACGGATTTCCCTAAATCAGGATGGTTGCATGGCCTATTCTTTTATTCAGGCCAGTTACTATATTTTAGTGTATATGTGACATTCTTTAAAGTGAATTTGCCCAAGTATACATACACATCCATCAGCAGAAGTTGTCCCCCAGGTTCTGCACTACTGAAATCAGTGAGCTGAGACTGACCCATTTTCAGTTGACAATGTTCTGCAGTGTAAAATAATCCAATTCCTTTAAACTTCAAGTCCTGTAACTCTAGCATGTATTGTATTAAATGTTGAGATGACAGCAATAAAAATTCTCTTCTGGAGTTCACAAAGATGGGTTCTGATGCAGTGGGATCTTCTGCCTCTTGACATGTAGTTGTACTGCAGAGAGGAAAATATGGAGAGGAATCAGTACCATGTAACCCCTACAAGAAGACATTTTTTGATGGCTAATTTCTGGGACCATCTGCTTTCAGAGCCTTCTTGTTGAAATGCACATCTGGCCCCAGTAAGCTACAGCTACAGATATACAATAGATAGTTGTTTGTAAATTTTAATTTGCTGGTTGTAGTAAACAAGGGTTTACTTTCAAGTTACATCCCTGTAAAATAGTTCAGATGGCATTTGTTTAACTTTTGGGGGTTTGGGCTGATTTCAGTTCTCATACAACCACTAGTTGTCCTCAGCCAAAAAAATGCTTGCAGCTTCTTTTGTTTCTGTTTTTTTGCTCCTCTAATTCTTTCCTTTCCTTTAAATCTTTCCTGTGTTTTCTGTACCTCGTGATCTGCAGTCTCTGCCATCTTATAAGGTCCTTAGAAAATTCACATCCATGCAGCCACTTTGTGGATAATTGAGAGGAGGGTGTATCTGCTGGAAATACTGTACAATGGGGAACACTGGATGATTGGAAGTACTTTAAATGGTGAAGATTATTCAGTGATTTTATTTTTGCATTAAAATTGAATTTAAGTCAGTTTTAGGCCCCAAAGTCCAATAAAATGTGCAGAAAGCCTACATTCCAGAAGATAATCATTAGGTGCTTCAATAAAAATGTGTGCTCTATTGTGAGTAATATTGATATTTTAGCACATGACAGAGTTGTGTGAAACACAGAAGGAAGGCAAGGAGTGTAGACTGGAATACAGCACTTCTTCCAAATCGGTATCTTGCCTTTTCATTTGCATGTGCCTTTAAGGTTTGTGGCAAGCAGTTTGTGGCTGCCCAGGGGCCTGTTTCAAGTGACCAAGAAGTTGCTGTTTCTGCCACTATGTAGTTAGTTATTCTCCCACAAAGTGAAGGGTATGAACCCCGTTTAGATGAGTCTTTCAGGCTATTCTGCAGAAAGCAGCCTCTATCTCCATGTTTTAAAAAGCCCAGTGAGTTACGAGCCTACTTTCAAAAGAAATGGCAACTAAAAATTAGATTAAGAAATCTGATGTACACCATGGGGTCACCTGAAGCTGTAAAGATCTTGCTTAAATTTCACTTTTAGTGTTCTGTTCAGCATGTGGGCTTTCTTAATTTTTTTACTCATCCTTCGTGTTACCTCTGAGATTATCAGAAACTACTTTTTGGAGAAATCTCACTCTTCCCAGTAACAGTTCAGAGCATTTAAATGCCTTTTGCTGTCTATGTTGCAGTCATGAAGACAACTTTTAACAAAGTTGGTGGGAACTCATTTGGTGGTTGCCTCGGAACTCTGCTTGGATTCTGTGGAGTAGATCGTTTGACCAAGGCATATTTAGTACTTAGTAAGAAAAACTGCAAACAAACATGATAGTGGTTACCACCATAGACACAATCTGCCTTTCCAAGACAAAGTTTCCTGTGCCTGCTAGCAGCCTGTATCCACAGCTGAAAAGTTTATAGACAATGTGTGCAGGAACTGTTGTATGTTGACTGCCTGTAACACTCTGCTTTGTGTTCTGTCCAATTTTAGCGTGCCCTCTGGATTTGAAGGCATAAAAGAACAGGAGATCTGCAACAAGATAATGACAAAAATGCTGGAAAACTACAATACCTTGTTTGAATTGGATGGTTTGAAGAAGGATGAAGAAAAGCCTGTACGTGAAGAGTTAGCAAGAATTATTTTGGTAAAAGTGAGTGTCTCTAATATTTCATTTTCTTATAACAAATCAATAATCCAGGTTTATTGAAGGCTTCAATTCAGAAACCTTATACGTAAGTGGGAGGCAAAGACTGTTGTAATAATGTTCTGTGTTATTGATTGTATCCAGCTTACAATTAATTCTGCTGATAGGCTGATTCTCATTACTAGTCTGGAAATTGATTTATTAGCTATTCCCTGCTATTTACGTATTTTATATATATATAAAATAAAAATATTTAATATTTAAAATAGTTCATATTATAAAATATTACATATATAAATATATAGACATTCTATTTATATTTTTATTATATATTTATATAGAATATATATTTATATATTTTATTTATTTGTATATATATATAGGAAATATATTCACTAAAATTTACTGGGTTTAAGTGAATAGGTAGAATAATTCTAGGAAGTACTCAAGTCTTCTGACATTGTGATCATTTATGGAGTACATCAGTGATGATGAACTTTGGTATTTTAGGACAGTATGAGATATGTAGCATTTGCCACTGTAAAGCCTGCTTGTCTTGAGCATGTGCCTGAATTTAAAAACGGCACGTTCACTCAGAATGGCCATTTCTGAGTGCACTTAAAGAGAAGCAATAATTAGTAGTTACCATTTGAAGAAAGTACATTGGAGCTGTTAAAGAAAAGTGATGTAATCATAGAATCATAGAATAGATAGGGTTGGAAAAGACCTTAAGATCATATAGTGCCAACCCCCCCTGCCATGGGCAGGGACACCTCCCACTAAACCATGTCACCCAAGGCTCTGTCCAACCTGGCCTTGAACACTGCCAGGGATGGAGCATTCACAGCTTCCCTGGGCAACCCATTCCAGTGCCTCACCACCCTTACAGTAAAGAACTTCTTCCTTATATCCAATCCAAACTTCCCCTGTTTAAGTTTTAACCCATTATCCCTTTTCCTATCACTACAGTCCGTAACGAATAGTCCCTCTCCAGCATCCTTATAAGCCCCCCTCGTATACTGGAAGGCTGCTATGAGGTCTCCACGCAGCCTTCTCTTCTCCAGGCTGAACAGCCCCAACTTCCTCAGCCTGTCTTCATATGGGAGGTGCTCCAGTCCCCTGATCATCCTCGTGGCCCTCCTCTGGACTTGTTCCAACAGTTCCATGTCCTTTTTATGTTGAGGACACCAGAACTGCACACAATACTGCAGGTGAGGTCTCACGAGAGCAGAGTAGAGGGGCAGGATCACCTCCTCCAACCTGCTGGTCACACTCCTTTTGATGCAGCCCAGGATACGGTTGCCTTTCTGGGCTGCAAGCGCACACTGCCAGCTCATGTTCATTTTCTCATCAACCAACACCCCCAAGTCCTTCTCCACAGGGCTGCTCTGAATCTCTTCTCCACGCAGGCTGTAGCTGTGCCTGGGATTGCTCCGACCCAGGTGTAGGACCTTGCACTTGTCATGGTTAAACTTCATGAGGTTGGCATCAGCCCACCTCAGAAGCGTGTCAAGGTCCCTCTGGATGGCATTCCTTCCCTCCAGCCTATCAAACCGAACCACACAGCTTGGTGTCATCGGCAAACTTGCTGAGTGCGCACTCAATCCCACTGCCCATGTCAGCGACAAAGATGTTGAACAAGGCCGGTCCCAGCACCAGTCCTTGAGGGACACCACTTGTTACTGGTCTCCAGCTGGACATTGAGCCATTGACCACAACTCTGTGTGCGGCCATCCAGCCAGTTCTTTATCCACCAAGTGGTCCACCTGTCAGATTGATGTCTCTCCAACTTAGAGAAAAGGATGTTGTGTGGGACAGTGTCGAACGCTTTGCGTTTCTTTGGCATCCTTTTTTGTTGTTGAATGTGGAGATAACTTTTCTTCTAGGTTAGTACAGCGCATGTGATAATGCAAACTGCCTTATGTGTTCTCCTGGGTGTGTAGTTTGCAGGTAGGGACTATTAAGACATTTTTCCTAAGCAAACATTAATGCCTCCTTTTGGTCGAAATGCTGCAGTTAGCCTTACCCAAAGGCAGGGTTCCCAAAATTGGGGTGGAACTTATAGGAATAAAGTAGGTTTTTTACACTGTGTTAAGAGATTAACCATATGATGTTCAAAGCCATTGGTCTTGATCCAGGTGTTTCTTGATTAAGGGTTTGGAAAGAACAGCTGTAAGCAGCAAACCTTTTATACAGGGAAAAGAATGCCACAGATTTGTGGAAGGACTAACTTGAATCAGAATTTGAAACTCAATGGCAGTTGTTTAAAAAAATAGGAAAGACATTTTAAGAAGTACAACATTGAACAATGCACTTCTGTCAGTGCTCTAGTATGCCTTTCTCACTTACTGTATTACAAAAGTAGCCCTACTTTTTCTTCTTTCTTTTTCATGGCTTCAGGCTCTTACTTTGGTGCTGAAATCTCAACTGGAAAAACAGGAACCTATCTTTAGTTAGTGTCTAAAGGTATTGTGAGACTACTGTTTCTCCCTGTAGTCTTGGGTCATGCTTGATGTGGCTTAGGTGCCTGTTGCTTCACACCATTCACTCATAATTGTTCTTTTTGAAGTCAACATCAACACTAAATTGTTAATTTTGAGCAAATACCTGTAAACAAAGGAGTACTGGCTCATGCTATCCCATCCCAGTATGGGAATGTACCTCCTGTCATGTGCTCAGTCATGTTTACCATCTTCCTGAACTTGCATGACTCCTGACACTTGATGGTCTGGCTATCTTAAGATTTTCCCACACTTTGGTCATAAAATCAGTGGATTACTAAAAGCAGGAAGCACTACTCTTTTAAAATGAAAACAAGAATATACAGATCATACATATAAAGTAATGAAAGCATCAAGCTTCTCTTTGAGGAGTGTGCTGGAAAAGAAAAATGGCTTGAGTGGAGCAAGTTGCATCTTGTCTGCCATGTTGGTCATAGTTAGGGGAAGGCCACAATACTGTGTAATTCCAGGAGGAATAAGAGCGTTTCAGTTAGCTGCAGGTTGTGGCAGTTTAGAGAAAATCTGTTTTAAGAAAGCCACAAGTTAGCAAATTTGACATGGGAAAAGAACTAATTCTGTAGGGCTGTTGGTAATTAAACTACCATTCTTGCTGTATATGTACACTGTGGAGGCACAGGAACACCTGCACTCCACTTACATTTCTTCTATTCAAAGATTGCTTGGTCTTTGAAAAGGTTAAGTTGTACCAGATAAAGAGATTTCTTAGCTTTCTTTCTCAGTGGATCATGATTCAGAAAGTAGGGGGTCTGGAAATCTCTTCAAGTTACATTTCAGTCCCTGCTTTGTTCCCAGGGCTGTAAAGACTCCTCTTGCTCATTGCTCAGACATATAGTAGTTAGAAATCATGGGGAGTTTTTTCTTTGGAAATCTCTATGTTAAAGTGCAGTTTTCGCAAAACAGAAAATCTTATAACAGTTTCTATTTCAATGGGAAATTGAACTGTCAAGTTCCTGATGGCTTGACTGGAAGGGCTTCATTAGTTACTCATTTTACCTAGTAGAATGAGGTCCTTATGATCTTCCAGGCAGGTGGCCAGCAGGTGGAAGCATAACATGTACTTTATCTATCTAAAAGGATTTTTTAATTCCAAAATAAGTTGGGGGTTGAGGTTTATAAGTCTCATTTGCAGCCAACTATTACTGCAATCTTTCAGACTTTTATACAAGCTTCAGTTTAATTTCCTAGCCTAGTGAAGGCCTGGAAGAGTCTCAGTCTGTTGATCAATAGGCTGTCTTAGCTAGGGAGAGATGGGTGGAGGAGTGGGTTGAGTGTTCTGATTAGCCATATGCTCTGTGTTCATATTTTCAGGATCACAAATAGCTATTTTTATTGACAGTTTTATGTGTGAACAATTAATTCTCTGATAGTGTATCTGCATTTATCACATTATAAGTGTCAGGGCATTATAATAAAATATTTCTGTTTTGCTTTGGGAAAGAATTCCTAATGTATATTGGTATGGTCCTGATAGACTTCTTTTTTTAGTTATTATTACTTTGGGGGAGGGGGGTGAGGGAGGGACACAACCTAAACTGAGTGCTAACTCATGTAGTGAAAGATTAGTCCACCCTAAGTTTCAGAATTGGTATTTTATTGTCTTCTTGAATAAATAGGTTTACAACACCTACAGTAACAACAATAATAATTTTGAACAAGGACCATTCATTTCCAAATGTCTGAAAGTGGTGTTCAAACTGCAGCTGCATATAGTCCTATGTTATATAGCTAGCCAGTGGTGTGTGGTTACAGCTGTAATGAAATGGGAGCTTTGTGTAACAGTAATCAGGCTTCTCTGATGATCAAAGATACACAGTGAAGAGGATTTTTATTTAGCTCAAGTGGCAAGGGAAATATGGGCAGGCAAACTATTATGAGACTCACTCTTGGGAGATTTCTGGAATTACTCCTTCCACTGGTTTCATGTGAAACGCGTCATCTTTAGTAGTATGGTGTGTTTTAGCTCAGTATTATCTTCAAATAAAACATTCAGCCTATAACCTAGTCATGCAGGGTTGCAAGATACTTTCTGGGGTTTTTTCCTTCTTTTTTTTTTTTCACCTTTCCCTCTAATGCCTTGACAGACCACTTCTAGTTTTAAGATCCAGTCAGCTGAGAGCACATAGGTGTTTGCACTGGAGCACAAGCACTAGCATGGTGAGGATGTAATGCTGCTCCTGGCTTCATTACATATTTGGGACAGGAAAGCAAGAGGCTTTTCCCTTTCTTCCCCCACTGAATCATAAAATACATCTGTTCACCTGATGCAGAAGAGAAACCAAGTCCATTTGGAAAATTAAAATTATAATATTTAAATTTAAAATCAAAGTTTAAAAGTCAAGTGAAATTATAAACATGCAGTTTCAACATTGTGAATATAAAATAGATGCATTCTGATGACCTCTGAACAGACAGATTTCACTCTCTGAATTGCTATAGGAATTGGTCTCTTGCTGGCTTTTGCAAAAAATAATGGTTTCAAAACAA